CATACACCTGCCACCACGCCCGGCTAATTTTTGTATTTTTAGTACAGATGGAGTTTTGCCATGTTGACCAGGCTGGTCTCAAACTCCTGACCTCAGGTGATCCACCCACCTTGGCCTCCCAAAGTGCTGGGATTATAGGTGTGAGCCACCATACCCTAACTGACTTTTGTTAACTGAAATGAAATACTTTTTTGATTGTGGTAAAATACACATAGCATAAAATTTACCACCTTAACCATTTTTAAGTGTATGGTTTAGCAGCATCAGATGCTTTCCTTTTTTTTCAGACAGGGTCTTGCTCTTGTCACCCAGGCTGGAGTACAGTGGTGTGATCTCAGCTCACTGTAGCCTCGACCTCCTGGGCTCAAGTAATCTTCCCACCTCAGCCTCCCGAGTAACTGGGACTATAGGCATGTACCACCACACCCGGCTAATTTTTGTATTTTTTGTAGAGATAGGGTTTTGCCAGGTTGCCTAGGCGGGTCTCGAACTCCTGAGCTCAAGCAATCCACTCGCCTCAGCCTCCCAAAGTGTTGGAATTACAGTGTGAGCCAACGTGCCCAGCCTGGCATCAAATACTTCCACATTGTTTTGCTACTATCACTACACTGCACAAAACTGTTGAATTCTGCAAAGCTGAAACTCCGCACCTATTAAAAATTATTCTCTATTTGCTGGTCCCTTCACTGTCTGGCAAACACCATTCTACTTTCTTCCACTGTGAGTTTGACTAGACTAGGTACCACATATAAGTGGAATAACACAGTATTTGTCTTTTTGTGACTGGCTTATTTCATTTAGCATAATCTCCACAAGATTCATCCATGCTGTGGCATGTGTCAGTTTCCTTCCTTTTTAAGGCTGCATGATATTCCATTTCATGAGTACACCACATTTTGTTTATACATGTCTCTGTTGGTAGATACTGGGTTGCTTTTACCTTTAGGCTATTGTGAAAAATAATGCTATGAATATGAGTGTACAAATTACTCTTGAAGTCCCTGCTTTCAATTCATTTTTGTATATACCCAGAAATGGAATTGCTGGATCATATGGTAATTCTATTTTTAACTTTTTAGGAATCACCATACTGCTTTCCATAACAGCTGCACAATTTTACATTCCTACCAACAGTGTGTGTGTCCTAGCTGATTTTAACTAAACCTTCTTAATCCTAATGTGATGTTATTTGAAACATAATATATTTAATGAGAGAAAAAAATACATGTTCCCAAAAAGATCCTGAGAAGAGTGGATTCCTGGTCTCTTTCCCGATGATGACATCTGGTTGGGCTGTAGAACCAGGGGAATATAAGTCAAGGAGTACACTTACTTCTTCATAATCTGGATTTCGTGGCACCATCGTTCTCTGTTTTTGGTACTTAGCTCTAGGCGACAAGACTTAATTGCTATTTTGAGATCAAGTTCCTGCCAAAATAGAAAATCAGCAGAAAAAAAAAAAAATTAGGTTCTTGTGCAGATTTATTTGCTACCAAAGAAATAACCTAAAACAAAACTTTTTAGCTTTACTAATTAAATATATTTATCCACAGCTCTCTTGAAGCAACGCTTTTTTAAAAAGATAAACCATGAGACTATTACACCAATGCTTTAAAACTGACCTTCGAACACATAACAGCACACAAGGGAAAAGTGACTGAAACTGATTTTATAACAGGTCTCTTTGGAACTCTCTCTCATGTGTAATGTCAGAAAAAAAAAGATCCTGTCTCCGCAGCAAATTCCATTCAGAGCTTAATCAAGACAACTAACATGGGCCCCAGCTCCCAGCATAACTAGAATGAAGAAGGTAATTCAGGGCTTCCTGGACTCCAAACAGCAAGAGAAAGTTTTAATATAACCAAGCCTAAAGCAAAAAACTCCAATCTTAATGTATGCATTTCAAATGACATGAAGGAAAAAAATCCTACCAATGAGTGTACTTCTGTTTCCATATCTACACAATGAACCTAACATCTCTGGCCTGTGACTAGTAATTTAGCCAATTCTGACTGAAATTAAACCCATTCTGATGCACATTACAGGAAATAGCCAGATCCCATCATATTCTGGCAACACTAATAATGCAGCTCAGAAACAGCAGCCAGGGCAAAACAGGCTACACTATGTTTCTGATATCACAAAGAGAGTTCAAAAGAATTTCCAACATACGTAATCTCTGACACAAACCAGAGTTGTAATAAAGGCTGTGTATGAATAAAGAGAGGGGCCAGGACAGAAAAAAATATATTATAGGTGGGGAAGGAAGACACAGCTTGGATAGGGTAGTGTGAATTGGGGGCTGAGAGGAAAAAAAGGCTAGAGATAAGATGATACTTGGTGCATAGAGAAGAAGGAAAATAGGACAGACTACAAGCTAGCCTACCCACAGGTCTCACTCCCTTCAGTCTTCCTTTTGTTATGAGCAGGTGGCCAGTTATATCTATGTCCCATGCAGACCTTTACCACCATGGAGATGAGAATCAGGCACAGCTATGAACAGCACTGAGTCCTAAATGCTCATGTTGATGGAGCAGTAAGTTATCTATTTCAAAAATCCCACTTTGTAAGATCCTTCAACTCCTTAATTTATATTTCATCCACTCTGTGAAATTCTACCTTTTTGCAAAGAATGTTCTATGGGCAGTTTATAGATGTACAACAACAACAAAGTTATGTGCTTAAAAAGCTGGAATATTCTGGGGATAGGGTGACGGCTGTACAACGTCAATATACTTAATGCTACCTAACTGTACACTTAAAAATAAAGTGATAAATGTTGTGTTATGTATACTTTACCATAATAAAACAAAAAGTGATGAATTCATCCATCCCCACCCAGGGACCAAAAAAAGAAGTCACAAAAGCTGCCAGCATGCATCCTTTTTCCTTATGATCAGTCTATAGGCAGGCTTAGGTAACACAGGCAACATGCCACTGGAAGCACTTGGCTCCCACTTTTTTTTTTAGTGTGTTATATTCCCTCTGATGGTGAGAATTATTAAATTTACTACTTATCCTGCTATCATAGGATTTAATGCCTTAGTCCTTCACCTTCCATTCTCTTTCTCCAAGATTTTCTCCCACACCCTATCTAGAAACCTGGTTCACAAAACTTCCTCAGTTCTATCAGTTTCAGTTGTCATTCTAATTACCCTAAACATGCCTATTTCTCCAAAGTAGACACCTATCTCCCCTTTCTCCCACCCCAAATTATGAGCTTTCTCACTACACCCATGTTCCTTTAGATAACAAATTATTACTTTTCCTCTTGAATTCATTTCTCTATTCACAATCCAAGCCCAGGCATTTTAGTAAAATCTTAACTGTTCATCTTGTCCCACATGTTGTTCCACTCAAATTTATCCTTCACAAAACCATTTTCCTAGAACAACACTTTTAATCTTGACATTTCCTTGTTTAAGGCCAATTAATGAGGAGCATTATGATCATAGCAGCAACAACAAAGTAGCAGCAGGTGCTAACAGTTGAGGGCTTTCATGGGTCAGGTACTGTATTTAGCTTTACATACATTATTATTTTATTTAACTCTCAAACCCATGATGCATGCAAGTATTATACTATACCTATTTTATAGGGAACAAAACAAAGCCTGTATTACAGGAAGTGTTAGTCCGGGGTCTATTTACCTAAAATGTCCTTTAGGAAAGCATGAACCTCTCAAATGGCAATGCATGGTTGCGTGGATGTGCATCTGTGCATTTTTCTGGGGAAAGGGTTCACAGCTTTTATTGATTATCATTTTTTATAACAAAAAATACATGTCCCAGGCCTGACGCAGTGGCTCACGCCTATAATCCCTGCACTTTGGGAGGCTGAGACAGGTGGATCACCTGAGGTCAGGAGTTCGAGACCAGCCTGGCCAACAGGGTGAAACCCTGTCTCTACTGAAAATACAAAAAATTAGCCCAGCGCGGTGGCGGGCGCCTGTAATCCCAGCTACTCAGGAGGCTGAGGCAGGAGAATCGCTTGAACCCAGGAGGAGGCTACAGTGAGCCGAGATCGCGCCACTACATTCCAGCCTGGGCAACAGAGTGAGACTCCGTCTCGAAAACAAAAACTAACAAACACACAAACATGACCCAAATATTATTTTTTAAACTGCTGTTACAATGGTTAAACATTCTCTATTAAATCAAAGTAAAATTCTTGAGTCTGATGTTAACTGTCCTCCACTGACTGGAGCGCCCCCCATCTCCAATCTATTAATATCGCCTTCCGTTTGAAGCCATGATCTGCACCAACTTACCCTCATACTGTCCCGACCTGGAATACATCCCCAATTCCAAAGCCCATCCATACTTCCAAAGGTTTAACTCTGGACCCATCATGAAGCCTTCCTTGTCTACTGCAGTCCCCACTGATATCACACGGCCTCCAAGCAAGCGCGCGCACACACGGACCCAAACACACGGACGCACACATTCCAACAGGCAGTCTCCTTCAACCCTCTTCTCACACATTCGTGCTCACACATACACACTGTGACGTGCATCTGCCTCACACACCCTGACACTCTACATTCACAGAGACACACGCGCACTGTCACACTCACTAAACACCTGGTCACAGCCTGACAGTCATACCCAAGTTCCCCGCAACAGCTCTATCTATGCCCAGTACCTCAGATACAACTTTGGACACACACAGGCAGAGTATCTTTCTCTCTCATACACACACACAAGCCTACTGGCCCACAAATACTGCCCAAGGTCCCACTAACCATCTATCCCACACTGTCAGCCCTGTGTTCCACAGACGCTCAAACCCACCGCCGCTCCCTCTCGCGCCCCGCCTCACCCGATGCTGGTACAGACAGACGTTCCCGAAGCCGCCGGTGCCCAACCGCTCCCGCATCTCCCAGGGCCCGCCCGCGCCCGGCCGCAGCCCCGGGGGCCGCTCCATGGGGCGGGAGGGCAAGCGGCCTCAGGCTCCGCCGCTGTTCCAAGGCCGGTTCCGGGCCGCCGACGCTCGCGCGTCTTCCTTCTCGCGAGAATGAATGCGTCACTTCCGGTAACCGCTGCGAGAACGGCCCTTCCCTACGTTTTCCCAGGGCGCCGCCGGAGCCCTGCCGGCTAAGGGGTGGGGAAACGAACAGGTACTCGGTCCGCTCTTTAGGTCCCCTAGGTATTTTCTGGGAGGGCTGAACGGAACCACAATGTTTTTCAAGTCTTGGAAAACATAAGATCTCTCCAAACCTCGCATTCCCATCAAATCCACTTTTCAAAGCAGTCCAGTCTCTCCTGTATTAAATATATTTTTTTAATTAAGATGGGGTCTTGCTCCGTTGCCCAGGCTGGAGTGCAGTGGCATGATCACGGCTCACTGCTGCCTCGACCTCCCGGAATTGAGCGATCTTCCCACCTCCCGAGTAGTTGGGATTGCAGGCGCGCACCACCTCGCTTGGTTTTTTTGTTTTTTGTAGAGACATGGTCTTGCTACGTTGCCCAGGCTGGTCCCGAACTCCTGGCCTCAAGCAGTCCTCCCACCTCGGCAACCCAAAGTTCTGGGATTATAGACGTGAGCCACCACGCCCGGCAATTAGTCTTTTCTAAACTTCACATTGTCTCCACTCGTCTACACTTCACCTTTCTTCAGATCCCTGCCATCTATCCTCCAACTCCACCACCCGCTGATCCGGCACGCTAAAGACCACCAATGATTTAAAGGCTGCGGAACTGGAAAAATACTACGCCAGCAGGCCCACTAATGAATTAGCCTTACTGTTCACTGACTTCCCAATACACCTGCTCCATGATATGCCCCGTCATCCCAAATGACTCAATGATGTGACGCTATTCCGGAGTGAAGAATGTTTCTCGGGATTTCGGGAACTTTTTTCCTAGATGCCTCACAGAGCTTGCTGTCCAGCAGTCCAGTTAGGGCTCTGCCAGCACAGCAGTTCATTGTGAGAAGTGTTTCTAATGGGTGCTGCAGGGCTGCAGAGGCAAGCTTTGGGAATGCTGTTGGTGCAGCAAGTGCTTCCGGGTGGCGGATTGACATAGCATAGGACAACCAGCTTCTGGTCTTCCATTTGAGAGGCTCATACTTTCACTGTACCTGGGGAATCTCAATACTCAAGTAAAGGAGTCAGCATGGAATCAAATTCTTGAGAAATGTGATGCTGCAACCAGAATGTTGAGCACTGCATGATACAGACCAAGTCGATGTTGTAGGTCATTAGTAACATGTGGTATGGGAGGTTCTGGTTTCTGTAAGTGCGTGGTTTCCATGGACTTGGAGATGATGGCACCTCTGAGGACATGTCATTTAGAGCTGGGCAGACCGCACAGAGAATTGTGGTACAGATTGTTATAACAGTATGAAGCCCTCTCATTTGACGTATGTACAGCATGGCCAGTGCTAGTGTGCTCAATTTCCATAGGTGGGGCTGTAATCTCATAATTCCCACTCAAAAGAGGAAGGGATACTGAGGACCCAGGGATACTGATGATTGGGCTGACCCGGAAGTGGCCATCTTTGTGGAAACCAGGTTGGTTCCCTTTGTTAACTTTTTAAATGCCCCCATTCCCAGGGCCATGAGTAATTTGAGTTGTTTTTTGTTGTTGAGACAAGAGTTTCACTCCTGTCACCCAGGCTGGAGTGCAATGGCGTGATCTCAGCTCACTGCAACCTCTACTGCCCGGGTTTAAGCAATTCTACTGCCTCAGCCTCCCAACTGGCTGGCATTACAGGTGCGTGCCACCATGCCTGGCTATTTTTTTCTATTTTAGTAGAGACAGGGTTTCACCATGTTGGTTAAGCTGCTCTCCAACTCCTGATCTCAGCCTCCCAAAGTGCTGTGATTACAGGCGTGAGCCACCTCGACCAGCCTTCAAATTTTTAAAAAGCCTAAGCCTGTTGACCCCAGGCTCCACAATCTTCAATTTTCTGAGTCTCAGTTTTTATTCTTTTTCATGTAAAATAGAGGTAATACCTACCTCACAGAGATTTTGTGAAGATTAAATGAAACAGTGTCTGGACTGTAAGTGCCCAATATAAAGGTAAAAATATTTTTCTTTTTGCTCCTACTATGTAGTATTCTCTTTGCTCCTTCTCCATGTAAATGTTAGATCACTATTTTCAAGCCCTCCTTAAATACTGACATTTCTGGCCAGGCGTGGTGGCTCAAGCCTATAATCCCAGCACTTTGGGAGGCCGAGACAGGCGGATCACAAGATCAGGCGATCAAGACCATCCTGGTTAACACGGTGAAACCCCGTCTCTACTAAAAATACAAAAAATTAGCCAGGCGTGGTGGTGGGCACCTGTAGTCCCAGCTACTCGGGAGGCTGAGGCAGGAGAATGGCGTAAACCCGGGAGGCGGAGCTTGCAGTGAGCTGAGATCTGGCCACTGCACTCCAGTCTGGGCAACAGAGCGAGACTCCGTCTCCAAAAAAAAAAACAAAACAAAACACAAACTGATATTTCTTAGGCAATCATCTTCAGCTCAGGACTGTATTTACCCTATCTTAATTTCACCTATGGCCTATACCTTGATGATCTCCAAAGCCCTGTAACCAACCCAGGTACCAATGAGTTTAGAACTGCCCACCAGCACAAAAGACACACATTAGATATATCAAGCACATAAAACAACAATATCCAAAGCAGAATTTATCCTTTTTTTTTTTAAATCTGTCCTTTCTCTTCCCCATTAAACTGTAATCTCTGGGACAACAGGGACCATACTGGGACAAGACTATGGTCCTGGAGCTTAGAAAAATGCCTGGCACATAAGAGTTAAATATCTGAAGGACTAAATGGGCTCTTCTCTATGAATAAGATGAATGCTTTAAGAGAAAAGTAGCAAAAGCCTTGGATCCCTTCTCCACTTTGGGTTGCTCAGGGAGAAACCGCCCTGTGTGATTCTGGAACAGCTGGGCCTAAAGCTCTAGCCCCTCCAATTACACATACTACTTCATTTCAATGGTCATAGGCAACATGAACACAAGACACTTCTCAACCATGGAAAAACATCTGGATTTCATTTGGTAGTTTAAAGGTTTTTGAAAATGTTGATATACACAAGCTGTACTTGAAGCTGGATGACAGACATACTTTTATTCTTTTATTTTTGAGATAGAGTTTCGCTGTCACCTAGGCTGGAGTGCAATGGAGCAATCTCGGCTCACAGCAACCTCCACCTCCCGGGTTCAAGCCATTCTCCTGCCTCAGCCTCCCGAGTGGCTGAGATTACAAGCACCTGGCCCCACACCCAGCTAATTTTTGTAGTTTTAGTAAAGACGGGGTTTCACCATGTTGGCCAGGCTGGTCTCAAACTCCAGTCCTCAGGTGATCCACCTGCCTCGGCCTCCCAAAGTCCTGGGATTACAGGCATTACAGTCCTGGGATTACGCCACTGTGCCTGGCGACTTTTAACATAGGATTTTTTTTTTTTTTTTTTGGACAGAGTCTCGCTCTGTCACCCAGGCTGGAGTGCAGTGGTGCGACCTTGGCTCACTGCAAACTCCACCTCCCAGGTTCAAGCAATTGTCCTGCCTCAGCCTCCTGAGTAGCTGGGACTATAGGTGCGAGCCACCACACCCAGCTGATTTTTGTACTGTTAGCAGAGACAGGGTTTCACCATGTTGGCCAGGATGGTCTCCATCTCTTGACCTTGTGATCTGCCCGCCTCGGCCTCCCAAAGTGCTGGGATTATAAGCGTGAGCCACCACGCCCAGCCTTAACATAGGATTTTCATCCTAGAATGACTTTTCCCCAAAAAGATTCAATCTTAGGCCTCTTGCTGCAGGCAAGTTCCATGGGACTGCACAAAAGAGGCAGGGAAACAGTCCCCATGGGAGATTGTAGTTTCTTTAAAAATATGCTTCTAGGCCAGGAATGGTGGCTCATGCTTGTAATCCCAGCAGGTTAAGAAGCCAAGGCGAAGGATCCCTTAAGCCTAGGCATTACAGACCAGCCTGGGCAACACAGGGAGACCCCCGTCTCTACCCTCTACCCAAAAATTTAAAAAGTTTGCCAGGCATGGTAGCATGCGCCTGGTGGTCCCAGCTACTCAGGAGGCTGAGGTGGGAAGAACTCTAGAGCCCAGGAGGTTGAGGCTACAGTGAGCCAAAATTGCGCCACTGCAGTCCTGCTTGGGTGACAGAGCGAGACCTTGTCTCAAAAAAAATTCTTCTAATTAAAAAAAAAAAAGAAAAAGGCTTTACTACTTCCTATGAAGTTCATAAAAAGGTCTTCCCTTTGTTTAGTCATCCAGAGTAAAGTCATAGGGCTCAAAGTCTTTCTGGAAGCGGCGAGCCAGGGTCTCCTCGTCTTCCTTACTGATCTGACACTGCCTCCAGTCAGATTTACCAGGAATATTAAGGATGGCTTCACTGGCCAGGACCTCCCTGCAGAAAGAGCACAAAGAAGTCAAAATGGAAACTAAAAGCCTGAGTTCTCCTCAACATCACCCAAGGAAGGTATGCAGATTTATCTGACTTTGCTCTCCTGCCCTGAGTGCCATCTCTGGCATACTATTGATCAAATCATACCCATTTTAAATGACCAGCTCAGGTACTATTTATTTCCTGATCCTTCAAACCCCACTTGCTTCTCCCTCTCTTAAAAAACTCGGAACTATATTATTGGTACTTAGAGAAGCAACACCACATAGTAGAAAAAGGGCAGGCCCTGGTGTGAGAAAGATCAGAGACTGGATTCCATTTCCAGCTTTGCCGCTTGCTATCTATGATTCAGACAGATGATTTCATGTCTGAGTCTTGATTTCCTCACCTATGAAATGCAAATAAGAATACCCACTATACAGGGTTTTTGTGAGGTACAGAGATAACACAAAGTACCATATTAACTGTGATTACAACCTGCCTTAAACTGTAGTTTTGTCACCTCAACTAGACATGGAGTTTGCAGAGTCAGGAGCCTAGTCGTACCCACTCTGATTTAAAACTCCTCTGCCTCTCCTTCTAGGGGACTCAGGCCCACATAACAGCAGCATAAGCCCAATATCAACAAAGCAACTTATCTTGGTTCTTAGGACTAAGGAATAACTACATACAGACACACACACACAAGCTGCCTTCTAATTGCCATTGCTTTATATTTTTATTTATTTTGATATATTAGAAATAATTCTATTACACATTTATGTGGTTCATTTTCCACTCTGAAGTTACAATAAATAGAAGAGTTAGAAACAAATCACAAATGCTCTAAAAGTCAAAGAACCTACGCTCTTTTCAATAGGCAAACTTTGAGCCTATTTCAAATGTAAAAAGAAAATAGAACTACCTTTCTTGTACAGCTGAAAAAAAATGCCATTTCAAATATTTTGTTAACTATAAAATGCTATATAACTATAAATTAGTATCTTGATAATTACTCAATACTGAAAATACAACTATCATAAGCACAAAACCATTCAGAGAATCTCCTTTTTGTGTGCTTTATACACCTATGTGTATCTGCAATCGTGTGCTTATGTTGTCAATGTTCATAACTGCATCTGTTGCTGAGGCAACAACAAAAAATCATGTCAGATGTCTAAAGCTCGTAACACACTTGTTCCCATTTATCTTTCTGAAAAATGCAGACAACTACATTTACTGGACTTATCTAAAGCGGCAGTCTCTTGGAGGCTTTCTGAATTAGTCCAAGATAGGTTCAAGGCTCACTCAAAGCCCATTGTTAACTAGAGGAGAAGAAATAGCTGCAAATCACAGACACCAGCATCAGATACTCTCTTCTACACACTTTCCACTCCCCTTCAAACCGTATCTTCTTGTCAGCAACTTCCCATCTTCAATCTTTGCCTAAGTTATGTTACTCCCTCTATGGTTTTGCGGTCATGTTTTGCCTGATACGAGGAAAGGAACTGAAGCCTCCTCCAGGCCTTTACCATACTGTAGAATACTGAGGTTAAGACCTAAGTTTTGAGGTCCAACAGGCCTGCATTTGAACCTACCACTGTGTGACTACAGACAAGTTACCTAACCTCTCTACAGCCTGCTATCCAGTGGGGTAACCATAAGCCAGGTATGGCTATTTAAATTTAAATTCTAATTACTTAAATAAAATCAAAAATTTAGTTCCTCAGTCACATTAGCCACATTTCAGCACTCAGTGGCCACAAGTGG